GTGAAGGAGCTGGAAGAGCTGCAGGTGAGTGTCACAGCCACAGCTGCCGCCTTTGCGTTTGGTGCTGGTGAACACAGACAGTGCTTGGTGGGGGGAGCTCACACCTGTGCCAGTGCAGGATTTCAGTTCCAAGCCCTCCATGTCCTAGCAATTGCAGGGGCCAAGCAAACACCAGATGGAGGCAGGCTAAGAAAATGGCACAATAACCCCTTCGCTCTGTCAAGGTGCCAGTTTTAAAAGCTAAACCAGATGCTTCACTGCAAGACAGCTCTGCCCAAGGCCATTTGTGCCATCAACAGACCTCCCCAGGGAGCAACCAAATACCGGCTGAACCCCCAGTCCCCTGATTGCACCTTTCCCCACGAGCCTGTCTCTGAGCCTGTGCTGTCGGCTGGGGTCAGTCACAGAGCTGGAGGCGCTGGGAGAAGCTGGGATCAGACTGTTGGTGTGCCTAGGAACTGCCAGTGATGGGGTGATGTTATTATTTGGAGAGAAAATCTACAGCAGAAATGTGAGAGGGAGACGGACTGAAAGGGAATATAAAACAGATCATGAGAATGGAACCAGTTACCACTACGCTGCTAAGTAACTCTTGGTCCCTCCCTTCCTCCTGTGTTCGGTGTACTCCTCCTGCGCCCTTCTGCTAGTTTTGGCGTGTGCAAACGTGTTTCTTTGGGGTCTCCTTACAGACCAACAGAGAGAATGAGTTCTACAGCAAGCTGGCTGACCTGCACCTGGAGAAATACAACTTCCCTGTGGAGATGATCATTTGCCTCCCCAACGGCACAGTGGTACGTTGTTACCCCTTTAGCTGGGCCCGGCTCTCCCATCAGAATGTGCTCTTTTCAGGTCCTCTGCAGACCCTGAAACGAGCGTCCGCTCCCCCAGCCATTCCCTGGCTCCTCGAGACTTTGTGGGGCCATCGTCCCTCGCGGAGCTGTGCTCTCAGGGATGCTGTGGCAGACAGGCAGCAGCTCTACCAAGAAATCTGAAAACAAATGTCTTTTTATTCAGAGACAGAGCAGCAGCAGCTCTGGGCTGGTTGCTGTGTTCAGCGGCCACATGTCCTCCTTTCCCACCTCCGCAGGGGAGCAGGAAGCACAGAGGCATTTGAGGCTCAGGTGCTGGTTTTGCAGCGCTGCTGGGCTCCGAGCACACACCCCAGCACTCTGTGGCTGGGCTGCCCTCTCCCCAGCCCTTGCTCAGAGCGAGGTTTGACGCCTGCGTGATTTTTGACAAATCACCTTCATCTTCCTCGTAGCCTAAGTGAGGAGTCAGCACTCTTGGGGGAAGGAACCGTTGTCTTTCACACATCTTTCTCTGACTGTCAAATGCAAACCTGAATCCTGGCTGCTGAGTTAACATTTGCAAAATATTAGGGATTCCTTAAGAGTTGTTACAGTCTCGTCACCTCTGTCCTGGGCGAGCCAAGGCAGTGGATGGGGAATTGTTCTGGCCCTTGAAGTCACCTCTCCTCGTCTGTTTTCTTTCCCAGGTTCACCATATCAATGCCAACTACTTCCTGGACATAACTTCCATGAAGCCTGAAGAGGTTGAAAGCAGCATCTTTAGTTTCTCATCCAATTTTGAAGACCCTTCAACTGCAACTTACCTCCAGTTCCTGAAGGAAGGACTGCAGAGAGCAAAACCATACCTGCAGACCTAGAACCACAGGCACCCGAATGCCCCACGGAGATGGACAAAGACTCCCGAGATCTGTTTTGATCACAGCAGTTCTTATCTCCAGGCCAGACACTGATGTTCCGACGCAGACAGGCCCAGCCCTGGGGCTTCGCGCTGGATGTGGATTTGGCCAAGTTTCAAGTGATACCAGTTCACATAACCTGCCGGTTTGAGTCCACGGAAATTTTTACAGGAGTGAAAATACTTGAATCTATAAACATTCTCGGTGCATACACCTTGGTTTGCCACTCATGTTTCTCCAGCTCCTGTTCAGACTCTGGTGAAACTCACAGAAGAGCTATACCGAACGTCACCGGGAAAGCCCTGACCTAAAGGAGTGGACTGTGGTTGAAGCACGAAGAGCGGCACTGCCGTAGGACCGAACACTCGCAGTGAGCGCCTGTGGGCGAGGGCGCAGAATCCCGCACAGGCGGGAAGCTCCCTCTGGCAGCCTGTGGCCCCCA